AAGATTTCATAAAGTTGATATCAATACGAGGAAGAGCATTTGTGCTTTTGTGACTTTTCTTAATAAAGCCTGCAATAAACACGCCACCACGTCAGTAATGCGAGTGTGTGTTCATTGTGACGTTTTAGAGTAAAGCCAAGCCCCTCCTGTTAGAAACGCCATGTGGAGTGTGTCGCGAACAGGAAGAGAAGGGGGCTACACTCAGCTCACTCGCTGGCATGTGAGAACAGTTTCCCTTTCAGAGGAGAAAAGAGAGCCAGTTAAAACACACACACACACACACACACACACACCCCAACAACAACAACAACATTTATTCAGGAAGCGCCGTCTGCCCACTCAGGAAATTCCTGAGGACAAGAGCTGCTCCAGGGGCAGGAAATTTCCCCTCAGAAGGACCAACACACACAAACATGCGCACACACAGACTTTATAACACCAATTCCCACACAGTAAAATGGGTAATATACCACAAAGAAAGAGAGGGCGACCAAAGGAAACCAGTTAGGGGGTTTGGAGTAATATACGGTAACACACACACAAACTTACTCATAAACACACACACACACACACACACTACACTATCTCTGGCAAGCTTTGCACAAAGACACAAGATTCACTCACACTAATCCACCCACTCGTACAAGCAAGCATAGTGCAAACCCAGCTGTGAGTGCGCGCACACACACACACACACACACACACACACACACCAAGGAAACCAGCCAGTCTTGTTTCCATGGACATAGATTCTTTTTTTAATCCTCCAGAAAGATATTTCTAAAGATTGCAGCCACTGTTCTTTCTAGTTCATGCAGGTTTTTTTGTAAAATAACAGTGGAATGCCTGGTGTTTTAAACCTTTAAATAATTCACCGTTTTCCACACAGACCAGCTCTCAATTGCGTCATGCTCCGTGTACGTGGGCGCCATGTCGAGAGATGATGCCTGGACTTGCGATTGAATTAAATCCCGACAAATCCAGTTCATCGGTTAACGTCAGCACTGCTTTATTGTGAGCGGTGGCGAAAAACCCTCCCAGGCCTTTCTTCGAGTACTCGCCTCAACACAGAAAAACAAGCAAAACGTCAGGGATGGTTGACAGCACTCCTCCGCGTTCTGTTTAAAGTTGGACATTTCTCTACTCGCAGACTAATACTGCTGGATGAGGGGAAGAATGACTTGTAACATGGATTTTAAAGCCACAATGAATTTAAATGTGCCTCAATTAACTACTAAGTCCGTGCTCTTTTCTAACAAAACAAGATAACAACATTATAAACACAAGGAAACAGAAAGAAGAATTGAAGGAATAGTTCAATAGGAAATGTGCTAAGGGTTATGTGCTAGACTATTCCTCAGCGCAGACTCTAGGAAGTGTAGTGTCCAGCCTCCACAGGTTCACTACTAACTAAACTGACTAATAAACTGACTTAGTTGCTCCATATTACCTAATCAGAAGCAGGAGCTGTCTATGGTTGTTATTGTCTCATAAAATAGTACACTAAAGAAATATTAATTATTCAATGATTAGTGATGACATTTTCTAATTGTTTTATATTGCACACCCACATCTTGATTTAGCATCACATTACAGAAGTTCTAAGCGCTTTAAATGCAATTATGTGTGGCCTTATTGTTACTATATAAACTAAATTTACTTTTAATTTTCAATACTTTATACTTCCATGCTTGTTATTTTAAAAGTTTTTTAACATACATTCATAGTAGCATAGATGCACCTTTCTGTACAGTTTATTTATTGCTTGTAATTTGAGACATTCTAACTGGCAACCTGCACTTTAATTCAAGCATTGCACCGTCATTTGTTGTCAGCACACCATTTTATTCAGGTTTTTATCTAGTTTACCTTCATTTAAATCCATTTTAGTACATATCTATATTTTTGTATTAACCATGTTGTATATGTCATCATGGATATCTAGCATCCTTGGAACAAAAAAGTTCTTTAGAACGATTAAATCTTATCTCTTAAATACATGTTACTATACCGCATTTGGCCACACAAATCAGTGGCGTTTATGCTGCAATGACTTCTGTTCTTATGAATTAATTATTACATTATCATGTCACTGAAGATTCAGTGTGTCACTGAGGAACAGACAGGAACCAAGATGGAGAGAACAATATAAAAAAGTGGTGAACCACAAAACAGATTACAAAAAACAAACCAAAAAAGACCACAACAGAAAGCGAAAGCTAGTTAATGAAAATATTTTCAGGGGTTGATTAGAAAAGAATTTATTCCAAATATATTTTCATGAGGTTATGGTTTGTAGTGTGTTACAGTGATGTCTGGCTGAAAGGGTTCAAATCGAGCCGGGTAGCATTTTTTAGTGTGAGGAGCAGTCTGCAACTCTCCTCGATCTAATCCACTTCCTCCCCAGGAAATGGAGAAGGCGGATTTCTGCCCACACTGCAATTTCCTCCCTCATTCTTTTTCTTTCTGTCTTCCCCCCCTCTCCTCCTTCCCTCCTCCTGCTCTCTTCCTTCCCTCTCCCCACGCAGGACAGAACTCCCTGTGAGTGAGGGGGTAATGGACGGTTTGTTTTCCAGCATGTGTGTGTTTAGATAGGCAGGAGAAAGGACGAGCAGAGGTGTTTCAGACTGCGCGCAAAGTGACAAAGACATGTTGCCGTCTGTCTGAGGGGGGAGAGTAGATACCGACCAGCAGCAGTTATAAACTAAACACTGAAGAAAAGGGGGGGGGGGGGGGATTTTCCTGACCTGCAGATGTGTTAGAGTCCTGTCTGTGTGAGGAACTGTGTTTGAAATCTGATTAAAACAAAGAAGGACTTCCACATGTCTGCGGATGTGTAGTGACCCGTCGGTTTACTCGACAGGAAACTCAAGACGGACCTGTTGAGCGTTCTTCCTTTTTCTGCAACAATGCAAAAGAGGAAGTGGGCTGAGGGAGTTTCCTGTGCGTCTCATCCAGCCTGCGCAGCCGCCCAGCCCCAGCGCCCCCACAAAACCCTGAACTTCACACTTGCAAGGGAAAAAAAAAAAAAAAAAATTATAAAACCGGTTAATTATTGAAGGACGCATGGACAAAGCAGCTCAGGGTTACTCTTTGAACATCGAGCCTATCTCTTGGCACAGCTCCAGCCCCGCCTGCTCTATGATTGGTTAAGCAACAGTGAGCCGATGCAACCGAACCGAGGGTCATAAATGTCACAGTGTTGCTTCACTTCATTTACATACACCTTTCCCACAACATTTTTCCTTTACTGCCTCACTTTCAGACAGTTTGCTTCTCACTTTGATTTCTCTCAGGTCAATTAACACCAGAAAGTTCAGGTGGAGTCAAATCCTGACCAGTTCAGGTAAATCTACAAGTGGTTTTCGTTGTTCTGAAGCAAAGTGGAAAAGCTGGTTTGTTCTGATTCAAAATAGCCAATTAGAAGTCAATCAGTGCTTCTAAACAAAAGCCACATGACCTCCTATTAGCTTGTTACCAGTCTCATCATAAACAAGTCTGATTCCAGCTACTCTAGCTTTAGCTAATCACAACATATTGGTCTGTCTTCTCTGCTGTTCATACCAGTTTAAAATACCAGAGTTGAAGCCTACAAATAAAGCACACCTAATATTAAAAAGGTGCTCTGTGGAGTTTTGTAAACGGACAAAGGTTATATTTACATTCAGGGTTACTCACTAAAACACATTCTGTCTATCCTTGAGGTATAACAAATGTGCTGAATGCATTTCCACATAAAACATTTGCAAGGCCAACTTTTAAAATATTTCAAACCCTGCATTGTTTACATCTGTGTTTGCTTGCAACAGCAGGATGTGAATTGCATCCACGTGCCCACATGCTTCATGTGCAATACAAATAAAACGGATGGGCCACTCATAACAACAATGCTCCATAACATTGGCTTTTCAACAGGAGAAAGGCCATTGAGCTTTTTGAATCAATGACAAAAACTGAAGTGTCTGAAGCAATTCAGACCTAAATTTATTCCACAACTGCAAACATTTCACTGCATTTATTTTTCCAGTCTTAATGCCCCTGCAAGCAGGCACTGATTCACCTTGCCGATTGATGCTTTCAAGGACACCTCTAATTCAAATGTCAGAAGAAATGTAAACACATACATCCATATATTGTGCCACCTACTGAATGGTCTTCATTAAAACATGATCCTTGATGACGAAAACATGCACAATAGATTAATTTAAGCATCGGTCCACACATCACCCATGTAATTACACTTGAGGGTGTGTGTGTGTGTGTGTGTGTGTGTGGGGGGGGGGATCTTACACCAGCCCTCCTCTTTAACAGTGGCTCTTCCTATCAGTTTGTCATCCCTTCTTCTTCTTCTTCTATCATTCCCAGCTGCTATGTGTTCTCTGCTCCACATTATCTGTACCTGACTGCTGTGTAACTGTTGGTTATTCCAGTACAGTAAGTCTGTCAGTTATGGTCTAGTGGAAATGTGTACGGTTCAGGTGTCTGACCCCAGATCTGCCTCAACACCTCCCAGCTGAGAAGTCCAGCATGACTGAGCCGGCACTCATGCAGTGATAATGATGTGTGTGTGTGCGTTATCATAATTGGATGTGATGGATTTTAACTATTAAAGTGATATCTATGTTTTTGTTTATTCATGTTGCCTCTTTTGACTCGGAAAACATGGTCTCTAGCTTCTGTTTGCCTTTCTGAACTCTCTCTTGTCGCCACCTGCAGAAGCTCAAACTGGATCTACTGAAAATCCAAGTAAGATGTCAGAGTCCCGCCCACAGGAAATGAATGACAGGTGAATTCTGGGATGACAGACAAATAGAAATATGACTTCCCAGATTATCACTTCAACCAAACCAAAACATTTACAGAGCAAGACGCTAAAAACACTGACAAAAATCAATCTGTCCTCTTCAAATGACCAACTCATCTATGTGTGTAGGAGTCACTGCTCATCTGGGTGTGTGTGTGTGTGTGTGTGTGTGTGTGTGTGTGTGTGTGTGACTCACGCAGGTGCGCAGGCAGCCTGGCAGGCTCGTCCTCCATTCGGCTGGCTGGCCTCGCGGCGGGAGCATGGACGGGGGAGGAAGTGGAGTTTGGCAGCGGGTTCGCGGAAGGACTGAAAGAGCTCCTCTCCTGCTATGAATAGACACAGAGACACAAAGCATGGCTCACAAAGCTCCACAACGCACCGGCCCTGAACCCAAACAGCCCCACGCCAACTCGCCTCACCTCACTGTGCACCCACAACTTCGGCTAGCCTATAGAGTCTCATCTCTATACAGAGAGGAGTATGTGCTTCTAAAAAACTGATACGCAGCCCTGTCACGCTGTGAAGACACAATGTGGAGACGCAAATATCCAGAATGCTTCAGCGCACATGTTGCTATGCAATAAAGTCCAAAACTAGCCAACACTCTGGTTGTAAAGACGACAATCTCAGTGTCGTCAAGACGTATTAGTAGCTCAGAGACAACACAGCTGGATCAATCGATTGCTCTATAAAATGACTGAAAAGAGTTTCCATCACGATTTCCGAGCTTGAGATGATGTCTGTAAATTGTACCATCAACATTTCCAAAACACATTAGTTAAAGAATTAGATTTTAAAATCTAGAAACTATATAAAAACAGAAAAGCAACAAATTAAATAAGCTGGAATCAGAATATTTGATACTATCTTAGCAACAAAACTGGGCAGTGTACAACTAATTACTTTTATTGATAGATCTCGGTTATTGTTTAAATGAATTGATTAGTCTCTAAAACGCCTATCACAACTTTCCAAATGGCCTGTTTGGTCTGACCAACAGTCTGAAACCTCCTGAATATTACATTTACAATAAAGAAACAGGTAACGCTCGCAAATTTGTTTCCTTTTGGTTTTCATCTTTGCTTGACCAACAGAATTTTGCTTTATTACTTTCATTATAATTTTTTTGTTGCTGATATATTTCTGAAATTAGTCAATTAATCATTTTGTTGACTGACAGAAAATGATTCAGCAACAGTTTGCCAATTTGTCCCCTAAAGTTTTTCTTCCCCAAGCAAAAATGCCAAACATTTGCTCGTTCCAACTTCTCAAAACAGAAGAATTTGCACATCCTGTGCATGTCAGTGAAAAGGAGCCTTATGGATTTCTGATCAATAGTGATTACAAAAGGGGTCATTTTAACGGCCAGATATTACATTTGAAAGGTGGAAAATCTTTGGAATTATATAAAGATAATATACTGTTAGTCTGTATTTTAGTCCCTTTCAAAAAAGAAGACCAAGGCAGTGGCCCCCAAGGCCCTTTTCTTAATTAGTCAGCACAGGCCAGGTGTGTTAGCAGCAACAACAGCTAGTTAATTCCAGTTTCCCCTGTTTCCTTTGCCACAGAAACACCCAAAGCCACGGCAGTTACATCAGCAGGCACGAACCAAACGGCACCCGCATATAGAAAAATCTGACTGTGACCAGGGGACACTCAAGTAAGAGGTTGGATGATTTGAAGAGCATACACCCTCAGCTAAGAAGTGTTTCAATTCATTGCTCAAAAAAACGGCCGAACATTCCCTGGTTTCAACTTTGTGAAGAAATGTTGTATTGTCTGTTGTCTATTATTCTGAATTGGATATCTTTGCGTTTTCGACTGTTGGCTGGGCCAATCCAGCAATATGTCAACCTTGGCTCCAGGACACCATGATGGGCATTTTTCAGAATTAATTCCTTATTCAGATAATAATACGCTTATTTTTCCATTATGAAAACAGATGTTAGATGCACCCTACTCCCGGATACTCTGAGATTTTAGACACTCCAGCTCTGCTATCGTACGGCCAACTTATTGAATCTAGGTTAAGGTATGAGATTTTCCAATTTGCAGTCACTCTCTGTTTACTGGTTCCCTTTCCTGCAAATGAGGGCAGAGCATGAAGCCACCACAGTTTCTTGAGGAAATGAAGCTTATTTTTTTTGTTGCCGTTTCTCCCTTCAGTTTCAGCCTGCTGTCACCACACACAGCCACTCTGAGACCTACACACCAACTGTATGCACCAGGAATTTCCTGTGGAAGCCAAGCAGTAATCTTTAAGGCTTTTATTTCCTCCTCTCGGAGGCGGAGGCTCCTCACCCCCTCCACTTTGTTAAGATTCAGTTGTCCAGAAAAAGGTTGGGTTATTAGTGGCAAAGTGACAGGGGACAGAGCTTGTGATAAAGACACTGCAAAAATAGGCAAAGCGATAAGTGACAGAGCTGGGCTGCAGTATGAAGGTGAGTGGGAGACAGGAGTCCGGTCTGCCAGCGCCTCTGCTGGAAAACTTCTCAGAGTGAAGTGCTGATCCTTTCCAGAATGCAACTACAATCGAGAAGACATCCCTTGCAAACAAAACACCATATTTCACTTTCTGTCATTGAGCAGCATGCATTGTTTTCAGGTATTTCAGGCTGACCTTGACATTCCAAATAGCATTTCTGTCATGTAGCCATTAGGGCTGAAACTAACGATTATATCACAGACTCACCTTTCGATTTCTCTTTAAATTGACGAAATGTCCTAAAATAAAACTCAAATACGTTCTGAGAGGCTAAGGTGACATCTTCTAATATCTTGTTATGTCTGACCAACAGTCCAAAGACCCAAAGATATTCAATTGAAGCACACAAAAGCAGCAATTCCGCACATTTGTGAAGCCAGAACCAGTGAATATTTGTGTTTTGCTTGATTACACAACAGAAACAACTGACAGGCCTACATTATGAAAATATAGCTGCAGATTTATCTGCAAATTTCTCAGATCTAGTTCCTATTGGGAACCCAGAGCAGGTCTGTGCTGATTATTACTGACTTTAATCTGTCACACTTTCCCTTTTCCTAGTGTTGCAACTATGGATTATTTACATTACTGATTACTGAACGATTGGGCGCTTAGATTACATCATGTCAAACATAATGACACAGGCCATCACAAGCACAAAGTGTCTTCAGATTGTTTACACAGTCTGACCTGCAGCCATACAAACCAGAACATGCATTTTTTAATCACATATTTTTTTGTAAAGTAAGGCTGCTAACAAGTACTTTCCTTGTGGCTAATCTATAGATTTTTTTCCGATTATCCCACACCATTTTCTTGAGTCTGTGGGGGTGTCTTGTGTTATTGTCTGACTAACGGCCCACACATTCAGTTTACAGTGATGGAAAACAAAGAAATGCAGCAAATCACAGGGAGAAGATGAAATGTGCCATTTTTGCTTAATAAATGACGATTACTAAAAAAGTTGCCCATTCATTTTCTGTTGATCGATTAATAATTTCAGCTCTAAAACTGAGGAAACCTGTCAATTCAAGCATTAGTTGAGTTGTATATTTATCTGTAGTAGGCCTATATTGAGTTTGTCAGTGGAGGTAGGCTACTCCTATCCCATTCCAGTATTACATATGTGTTATAGGCCTCTCCGACAGGGAGTTCAACAGCTGCAGCTCGTCTTTATCCCTAATGTTTTGTTGTGATTGAACCCTTTTAAACGCTTTCTTACTGATGCTCCGTGAACAGCTCACGTTTACAGATGCTCTCTGTCGGTTACAACAATGTTCGCCCGCCGGCTTAAATCACTTTTTTTTGGAGGAGGGGGGGTGGGCTTCATCAAATGAAGGGTTTTTTGCGTGTCACAGACAGTCACGACTTCTCCCCTCCATCAGCAGAGTGGAGGCGAACTAAAAGCGTGGAGCCGCGAGCAACAGATGACTAGCAAAACAAACGCGCCGCCGCAACAACTGAATGGCGCTGCGGCTCGTGCCCCTCCGCTCCACGTCGGTAAGAGGTGATATGCAGAGCTTTGGAAACCCGTGAATATCACAGCCACACCGTACAGAGGGGGGTTGAAACCTTAAGTGGAGAGTGTCTGCTGAAGGAAAACAAAAGAGGAGAAAACCAGCCGACGCTCTTACCTTGTTCGTAGCGGAGGAGGATTCTGACATTATCTCCCGTCAACTTCTCTCCTTCTCCTTCCACTTTTCCGTTGTGCTCTCTTCTTTATCTCCTCTGCTTTCCTATAGAAACCCACGCAACAGCAGCAGCGGCGGCGGCAGTCCCACTGCTCGGCTTGTTATTGTGGGAGAAGTTGTCTTTTTCATGTAGCCTCCGTTTGTTTCTTTTCTGTTTTTATCTGCTGGCCGGCTCCATAGCGCGGCTGTCGGTGTGAAAACTTCTTTTGTCTGCGTGTGTTTTCCCTTCATATGTCGGCAGCGTGCTGGTTAATAATCCCTTCCTGGAAGAGCAAGACTGAAAAGAGAGAGAGGGACCGACGGTCTCTCTCTCTCTCTCTCTCTCTCTCTCTCTCTCTCTCTCTCTCTCTCTCTCTCTCTCTCTCTCTCTCATTGATCTGGATGTGTGTAAAACGGCGAAATGACGTGAATTCCCAGCATTGAGCCTTGCCCCCTTTTAAAGGGAAACCCGTAGCAGGAAATCGCAGCAGGTCGCGAGGCAGAGACACAACTACAGGCTGACAGATAGATGCTTCTCGGTTTGTGTTTTTAATCAAAGCTTGATGTAAAATGTGGTTACAAAATAGGCTAATCTGTTTTAATACAGCATGCAGTGCCAAACACAACAGTAAAAGTGTAAACCCTAAAAGGAGATCTAAAGGAATATCAGCCTACTCCATTACATATTATAATGGTCTAATCTATTACTCTACAGACCAAATGCCACAAAGTAGGCTAGCCTATGAAAATGTCTCTTTAAAGTTAGTCATTGACTTCCACTCATTTAGCCTATACAAAAGCTCTGATATAAAAAGTTTAGGCTATTAAAATAATAGCCCACTATAAGAAAATGAATATTACATGTTCTAGGCTATAGCACAGAAGACAAAAGGGAATATAGGCTACTGCTTAAAAAAGTTAATGGTGATTCTAGAAATCGGCCAACTCTAGCAGATACATAACAACATTAAAATTAACTTGGAGTCATGTTTCTGCCTACCTGATAAATGTAAGCCCAAAAATCATGTTCCTTTTAGCTCTGTTTTGGTCTCCACCAACTCCTAAGGGAAATATTTTGTCTCTTTAGTTGCTAAATGCTTTTAAATTTATTTTTTTCCCACAAATATCATGAAACAGAATAGGTAGGTCTACTAATTAGCAGTGGTCAAAGTGAGGTCCAGGGACCAGCTGAGGTCCAGCTTGCCAGAAGGGTAAAATTCTCTGTCCATGTACATACTGTGCAATTATTAGCATTTATGATGTTGGAATGCAAATGTCTGCATATCTGAATGAAACATTCACTGGCAGAAATATTTATGTGACATTGTGATTGATCACCTGACTCTGCGCTTCCCCTCAGTATTACAAAGCATTTTAGCCTCTTTTAGCTCAGTGTTTTGATTTTATAGCACACAACTTTACTGTTACTGTCTCACTTCTTTTAACAACCTTGTTTTTTTCTTAGCTTCTGTTTTCAATGTTAAAGCTTTGATAAACCAACTGTACACTATCAATCCAGATAAATTTAGCAACTAGCTGGTGAGCTTAGCGGAGCATTTAGCAGCTAAAGTTCCGAATATTTCCCTCAGGAGCTGGTGGAGACCAAAACAGCGCTAAAAGGAGCATGATTTTTGAACTTATATTTACGTGGTAGGCAGAAACGTGACTCCAAATGACCTTCACAACCCTCCCTTCACAGATGGCGCACAGAGCTAAATTTACTAACCTAACAACAGAAAATTGTAAGGTGTCAGGCCACCAGGCCCTCCAGAACAGCTTCAGTGCTCCTTGGCATGGATTCTCCAAGTCTCTGACACTATTCTGGCTCGATCACTATACTCCCAAAAGAAAGTGTTGTGATGATTTCCTGTTGGTTAAAAACCAGTCGGTGGATGCGATAAAGTGCCCCAGCCTGGACCTCCTTGATAACATGGAATGCATTTTAGATTACTGGACCATGGAGATGCCCCATTTCTAGATTGTGAGTTTCCAGGTAGGATTTAACAATGAATTTGGATTCAAAGCTTCAAAATTCATGGCAAATGAAGATGAGTGAAGCTGAGGGATGACGAACATTCATGTGGATGCTGCAAATTGAGACCTGGTGAATGAGTGGATTGTGGCATGGCACATTTTACTTTATTTATTCATTGATAGTGGATGTAATTAGGATTTCTTTTACCATGAATAAACATGTGACAATATTTAAAATAAGGACAGGATTTAAAACACAAAATAATTGATTAGGTTTTCATCAACTTTGCAATGATTTTACATTTCAATCACTGGTCCAGGCGTTTGTTTCTATGTTTTCTCACAGGCATATCTATATTTACATGCTAAAGTATTAATTTCAAATTTGTTGTATTTTTGATATGGAAACTGGGCTTGATTCTGTTCTCAGACTCTCAAACAAATAATAATTCTGGCAGCTGTAAGGATAAAACTTTAAATGTACCGAATTGCAGTGATTTCTTAAAAAGTTAAGGAACCCCAGGGGTGACATATGGAGTGAGACAGATTTTACATTAATAGGATTACATTAATGGGATTTCAAAAGTGGCAAATGTAATCTTACACACCTACTGCAGAAAGCAGTAATCAGATTACAGACACTTTTAAATAAAAGTGAGAGAAAAGCGATAACATTCTGTACTCAGAAACATAAAATACAGATTGCAGCATTTAAATGATCAAATCATGTTTTATGGTATTTTTATGATGCCAGTGGATTAATAATACATCATTTTTATTTTTTTAAACCATTGCAACAAGTAAAATAATTGCTACCCGCTGACATAGGCGGTCCTCAGAGGCAGAAAGTATCACTTGACTTAGATGATTGAATTTGATAACAAAGTGTGTTTTTGCAGTGACATTTCAGTTTCATTCTGTCTTTAAATATGATACATTTATATTATATTATATTGGACAATTAAATGTGGACTTTTCTGGTACTTTTCAGATTTAAAATATTAGTTAGAAATTTACCCCTAATGTTGAACTAAAGCAGAGGGAGCTCTGTCCTCACATGGCTGAAGGGCTGTGAGGTAACACAGGGGCGCCCCCAAGCGGACGGCAGCTGCGTTACAGCATTAAACCCAGGCTGAACATATTTGAGTTTCGGTTTCCAATCATCAGAAATGATACTGATCCTTTCTCCTCCGGGAAGTCAGCGTTCAGTCTGCAGTTTCTGTGTTGTCCGAGGCTGGAAGGAAACACAGGGAGAGCGTCAAAATGAAGGAGTCGGAAATATTGAAGTTTATCTGCGCCAATCAAGGAGCAGTTGAAACTGATTATTTGGTGTTTAATGTTCCTGATTCAACCAATGTTTCGGACATCATTTGTAACCAGGACAAATTTGCGTCGTGCTGTCCCTTCGGGCAGCCGAAGGTGGTGGCCAGGACCAAACTGAGACTGTGCAGAACCAGAGACTGTCAGGGACCATGCAAGGGGCTACACCTGTGTAAAAACTTCCTCTTCATCGGATCATGTCAGTTCTCTCAGCTGAGGTAAGTATGTTTGCTTGTACAAGGCCTAATGTGAGTCAAGTTAAAGGGGCCTGTCTGCCTGAGGTTGTTGGTGTTAGACATGCAGCCAGAGAGGCCTGTGAGTCAGGCTGACTCCTTCGAATACATGTTGTTTTAAATTAACGTTTTATTGTCTAAATTTGTAATTATAGCCTATAAATTTCTATGTGTGGCCTCGCCACACCTGATGCATTCACATAACGTACTGTTGGCGAAGTCCCATGGCACTCACCGGTGGTAAAAAACAAACCGAGCCAGAACAAACATTGGCATTGTGAAGGAACTGGCCTAAAGGGGACTCACTGTGGGTGGGTAACAAGTGAGGTAGGCCTACAGGTTATTTATTATTATTATTATTTTTTTTTTATTAAATAAAGCACTTAAATAGTTGATAGATAAATGGTCTGCAAATAGTTGTATTATTGTTCTCTATTCTTTTTAATATTATTATGTAACTGCATTGTCAACTGTATGTTTGTCTACATGTAGCACCTCATCACCAAAACAAATTCCTCCTATGTGTTAAACACTACTTGGCAATAAAGCTCCTTCTGATTCTGATTACATGCTCATTTTTAATGACTTTTGGAAACAGAATGTACTTATTAGTGTGGCTGAAAGAGGGTATTTGTAGTGACAGAAGATGGAGAATAGAACACACATGCCTTTGGTGTGAGAGACCTGGGTTCAGTTCCCACTGTGACCCATCCACCATTGTGTCCCTGAGCAAGACACTTAACCCCTAGTTGCTCTAGAGGTGTGCGACCTCTGACATAAATAGCAATTGTAAGTTGCTTTGGATAAAAGCGTCAGCTAAATGAATAAATGTAAAAGATAACTAGATCAAAACCAACTACATACCATAAAAAAACATGGAACAGCTGCTAGTTAATGTAGCCACAGTACAAATGTATTCAGTTATCCTAATGTTACAGTTGATGTAGCTGTCTGTGATATTTCCTGTGTCACTTGGCCCTGACTCTCCCTGCAACACATGTTTGTGAACACAGAACTGTCTTCAAAGCAAACTCTGATGACATGCCATTGGAATAACAAAGTCTTTTTACTATGTGAGTTTTAGAATTTACTATGTCTAGTAGCTATCCATACAACTTACAAGCTCGTCCTCCTCAGTTTTTTCTACTCCTGCTCCTGTGACCTATGTCCACTGTCCTCTTCCTCTTAAAATACTGTAGGATGCTCATCTCTGTGTGAACATTTTGACTACTTTCAAATTATTTATGGACACGTAGCAGAGACACATACACACCTCATGGCACAAGTTTTTAATGTCAGGGATGGTCACGGACAGAAGCAAAAAAGTGGCCCAGGAGTTTGTCCCTGGTCAACCCGCTCTCCAGACAAAGCATTTGTTGGGGCCTCTGGGTCTTTATTGCATTCTTGAGAATTTTATGCAAGTAGAGTACATAACTAAATGAGCCATTAAAATACAGTTCTGCTATTGACCTCATCTCTGCTGTCTGTCTCATGTTCACCATGTCATGTTCTGTACTGGTGCTGCTGGCCAGTGGCGGGTGGAGTACTCAAAATCTTTACTCAAGAAAAAGTAAAAGACAAAAATGACAAACCTACTCATGTAAAAGGATAATAATATATTTTATCTGCTGTTCATCAGGTTTGATTTGATTTCTAGGGAATGCAATTTGCTTTGCTGGCTGATTATCTTTAGCTATTTCTGTTTAATAATTATTTTCCTTTTTTAAAACTCCATGAAGGTATTGATAAGATCACTTTAAAATATCATCTTGCTGCCCAGCTGACTATTGTTGCATGTAAATTTTATTATGGACATGTAGTCAATCAAACCTCTTGCTTTGCAGTAGCACAGGCTGCCAAAACAATCTGATTATTCCTAAAGCATCTAAATAATCTTTACAACGCAAAGAATGATTGTGGCAATAACACGAGAGCAGCTCTTTGTTGAAGCAGAGTAAACCTACATACATAGGAAGCTGTGCCTCATGCATAAAGCCCAACAGGACTGTTTTATCCACCATATTTTCTTTCTCTCTGCATCTCAAAAATGATTGTTTCCTGAATAAATAACAGCTGGTAGCTGCTGAGTGAAAGCCAGCAGTGCCATGGTGTGCGCTCGCTAGATTTCAGTAGAACAATAAAGCCTTAAACTGAAAAGGTATTTGCCTGATTTTCTAAATGTTTACATCTGCCCAGCTCATTCATATCTGTGATAAGCGCCCGTCTCTGTACCACAAAGGAGACCTGGCGCTCTTCTGCGTAACTGCGTGCACACAGCCTGGCTGACAGCTCATTTGGTTAACGAAGCCTATAGCAGATTACAGACTGGTGAAGTTATGAAGGTATGAATGGAAAATGTAGCAAAATTAAAAGTAGATTACAGGCCCACAGAAAATACTGGAGTAAAGAGTAAAAGTAGGCTGCAGTTTTAAAAAAGGAACCTGAAGCAAACTCTTTTTTTTCTCCCTTAACTTTTCAGCACCACATTTGCCTTCTGACGCATGTTTTCTATAGGCCTATGTGATTTTTGTCCGCGTTTCAACTGTTTAATGTGTCTGATGCGGAATTATGTGATTGATTGATTAACTAGTCTCTCAAACCGCCTGGCTATGAGCCGTCTCCAAAATCGCCAAAAAAAAAGTGAGGGGGACAAAACATAGATTTTGAAATGTGGGGGGGGGCATGTCTCCCTCATGTATAATGGCTCCTACGCATATGGGTCACACACAAGTCACGTTCAGGTCACTGGCAGACCTAGGAGTACCCCTTTCTCTGTATTAGGTGCATGTCGACATTGGCCTGGGTAGTTAGGTAGGAGCGAGTCATTACTTAAGTTACACAGCCAAGGACAAGATATCTGACACACTGACACCACAGTTGCCTCCTCCGCCAGCAGCCGGTTATTTTAGCTTAGCTCAAAGGCTAGAAACAGTTAACTTAGCTTGACTCTGTTCATAGTAAACAAAACCTGCTTTCCAGGCACATTACCGCCAAAGCGGACGAACTAACATGTTGAATTAGAGCTAAAAATGTTATATTAAAGTTTATAAACTACAGGGTTTGCCTTTATGGGTGTTAAGTTAAGTGCTGGACTGTTTCTTGGCTGGGTGCAAAAAAGTGTAGTTTCGCTTGGCAATGGTGTGGACTCCTGTTTTCAGGATTAACGTTAATGCTAAGCTAACATAAAACTCAAACTTTGTCCGTCACGCCCCTCCCCCCAAATCTTCAATAATTCAGGGGAACAATCAAGATTCTGGTTATCAAAATATGCCTGCTAGCATCAGAGCAGTTTTGTTTGTTTATGTCACCACATGAATCATTCATGCAACTTTAGGACAGCTCAACATCCAGGGCCCCTGTTTGAGAACCACTGCTATAACTCATATTTGATTAAATGTGTTACTAAATACTTGGCTTTATTTTTCAGCAGCACTATTTAACAACTGACTTAGATGTTAGACTTTCCTGCCACCACATGAACACATAATTTACTTTTATATTCACTCATCATATATCCTTTTTGCTAAAACAAAACATTAAGCCGGAACTGTTTAAAAAAAAAAAACAACAACTTGTGACTGAACTGTGCATGTTGTGTTCTTTGATAACAGGAGAGGATGCAACTTCTCCCATGAGCTGGACTCTGGTCGCAATGAGGTGATACTGAGAGAGCACGGGCTGGAGAGTCTGAGCAGGTCGGAGCTGTGCACACTGCTAATGCAGAGCGACAACACGCTCCTGCCTCCTGTGAGTCTGACTACATGCAGACATACAAATCTCATTTAGTGTTTCCCTTAAGACGGAGTTGTAGCAGCAGAGATGAAAGGAAACATTTTTTATGCGCTTGCACCCTGGATGTGCATAAACAAAAATACGTTCACATCATTTTGGACCATTATTACCACATCTGTGTACAAAAAGTTGGGAAAGCTAGAGCAGATGATTAGTAAACAACACCCAAAAAGTCCCTGTAAAAAGATGAACTATAACCATTAGATCTGGGAAAAGTCATTTAGTTAGTTTTTGATGAATGCTAATATGACTTACAGCTTTTATTATTATAGAAATTAACATAAATGTAGGCAACATGTGAGAACCAGCATATTTATTTATTCACTCCCTTCTGCATAAATACCAAGCATTTCATTTGTACATTAAAATATAAAAGAAATTCCTATTGTAAAAGACTAGTTAGCATCCCTAATTTTCTTTACTAATCTCAGCTCCTCTATGGTCACCATTTTAATTTATTTTCATAATAGAGTTTTTCAGACTCATCTGAAAATAATGTATTTTAAATATCAAGATGTACAGTATGTGTACAGGACGGAGTAGGGCTGTGCGATATTACAAAAAAATTCATATCCCGATATAGGTAATTTCATATTCCAATAACAATATATATCCAGGTATAGAACTTTTTTTGTAAATTCAATAAAATATCATGAGTTAATTTCCAACATTAACTCTATTTCTACTCTATTTCTCTGCATCATAAAGGTGGGGTAACTTCTGGAGAAATCCAATAACACGGCAAATGCCATGATATAGAGTGAACAATGACACGCATGTAATGTAACTAATATTAGCTAGGTGGTTGGTTAGTAAACTGTTGCTAAACTGAACAAAATTATAAACGCGACACTTTTGTTTTTTCCCCCATTCATCATGAGCTGAGCTCAAAGATCTAAGACTTTCTCTATGTACACAAAAGGCCTATTTCTCTCAAATATTGTTCACAAATCTGTCAAAATCTGTGTTAGTGAGCACTTCTCCTTTGCCGAGATAATCCATCCACCTCACAGGTGTGGCATATCAAGATGCTGATCAGACAGCATGGGTATTGCACAGGTATGCCTTAGGCTGGCCACAATAAAAGGCCACTCAAAAATGTGCAGTTCCATCACACAGCACAATGCCACAGATGTTGCAAGTTTTGAGTTTCAAGTTAGATGTTCGACTCCGAATCTCCAACATAAAACTAGCTTCACTGCAGTGCAAAGCGCCGTCCCCTTTGAGAAATATTATGGTAAAGTGTGGAATTTGCTACACAACGAAATTAACGAGAGAGCACAATTGTTAACGATAGGCATCTTCCTATCGTCATAACGCACAGCCCTAGGAGAGAGTTTAGTCTAAGCCTGTGCCTGATGTTCCCATCTCTGGACAAGTAGGTAGTAATGACATGTGGCTCAAAATCAATAAATCAATACATATTTAAATAAATAATAAAAGAGACAAAGGAGTATTTTAATACTCACTTGTTAAAGTAAAATCTGTGTGGCACAATATGGTATCCAGGTCATTATATTCTATACCAGGCTGCTGGGCAGGACAGGTTTAAAAAAAAAAAAAAAAAAAAGTAATGACATGCGGCTAATGAACCTTACTTCCTAACAATTTAACAAACGTTACATAACATCCATAAATCATACTGTTTCCGGCTCAGCATCCAGGACCGGAAGCCCAGAGGAGATGTTGGCTAGCTCCAACAGCCTTCACTTTTCCCGCAGTTGGACAACAGACATACTTTTATTAACGGACACACTGTCACCTACATGTACATTCACTGCCAGACTGACAACTGACTTTTCGTCCGCTAAGCTAACTTATACAGTCACTTTCTGCCGCTCGCTCGCAGTCATTTGCTCACCCACACACACATTCCGCACACACATTCCGACTGCCCTATACACACTTGGGTAACTTCTGGAGAAATCCAATAACATGGCAAATGCCATGATATAGAGCAACAACTGACACACATGTAATATAACTAATATTGGCTAGGTGGTGGGTTAGCAAACTGTTGCTACACTGAACAAAATTATAAACGCAACACTTTATAAATGCCCTATATTTTTTTAACTGGTATGTGATATAATATGAGTGTGTGAAGCGCCAGTCCTCAGCACAATTGGTGGCTCGGTGTATACATGAAAGAAAGGGGACTGGCACTTCCCAACTACCTGGACACTCATTGGCTATTGTAGGCTGTAAACAGGGCATGGAAGATTCTATTGGGGCAACTAAACTTTTGATTGACATCTTGTCAATCAAAAGTTTAGCATGTAGCCACTTATTTTTTTTTTACATGCTAACTGCAGTTAGGCTGATATAAAACAGCAATTCGTGTGTATTTATTGATATATTAATGCGTTTTGGACTAAATATTTTACTGGATTGGATCGTCTGGACCTTTGCCAACAAAACAAGGCTTTTTTTTATCGGAATGTAATCCACCGGTGAAGCATTTTACTCCTTGGCGTACCGGGACCTGCCCTCTCCATATTGCCCAGCCCTTCATACCAACCCCCTTTTTCCCCACATCAAGCACTGATTATAGGTGGTGGCAAAGAAATTTACCAGAATGCAGGAAATGAAACATTTAATGCTAAAAATTTCTCTGGGGGCGGACCCCCAGACCCTTCACATCATATATTTCCACATTTAAGATTCCTTCAATGTCTTGTGAGCTAAGTGTATCATCACACCACTAATCTAAGTCCCTATGTCCTCACCACTTTTCAACACAAAGTTACACTCTTGCCCCCGACCCTCCGTCTTTGTCGTAACCCCAGAACACATTTTAGGCACATAAGATTTTCTTGCTTTAAGCCCTGCACTTAGATGTCCTTTGAAGAATAAGGAGAGGGTGCAGTGTGAGTGAAAATCATTAGTAGCCCACCTGCGTTGTCTGTCCGTGCAAACCATTTGTCCTTTACAATTCTCCGTTCGTCTGTAGTATTACCTTCTTTTTTCGCCGAATCCTCTGCAACAGCGGAGATACAACGCTGGTGTGTGGATGGAGATCGTTTTGGTTTAAAGTAATAGTGTGGATGTAGCCTAAAAGCTGTTGCCTCAGTGTATGGAATGGTAAACTGATTCTGTAAATGTTTGACTTTGTTACACACTTATCTTTAGCTGGATAATATCTGTATATATCCTCTTAAAGATGTTGTTCACTGAAAATAAAATGTTTATATTACAACAGATGGTTGTTTTCTGACCGTGTGTCCTTGCTTTGCTTGATTGTAACTACCTTGCCTTCTTGTCTTATCTTCCCTATACCAGATATGTTACGATTACAACAATGGTGACGGGGAGTTTGGCCGGTGTCAGGAAGGCTTTGATTGCAAGAGACTGCACATCTGTGAGAAGTACTTGAACCGCGACTGCAGCTGCTCCAAGAATCATGATTTTTACGCTCCACAGCCGTTAAAAAGCCTGCTGGATAAAGGCGTGCCTGACAGCCTCATTGGCTCCTTGAAGTTTGTCTATGCAAATAAAGCGGCTTTGAGGTACAGCAATGATGCGAGCAACAGGGCCAACCGTCAGGCGCGTCAGCCAAAGTCATCCATTGGTGAATTCTTTGCTGCTGCCGACAACACTGATGCGAGCGGCGACGATGGTCTGAATTTCGAACAAAGGCAGTGGTACAGAGGGAGAGGAGGCAACAGAGGGAACAGAGGGAACAGGGGCAACAGGGGCAACCGGGGCAACAGAGGCAACCGGGGCAACAGAGGAAACAGGGGCAACAGAGGAAACAGGAGCAACAGAGGAGACCACGGCAACTGTCAACCGCCGCAACGAAGCTCTTCCATTAGTGACAGCTGTAGTGACTTCTTCGATCTGTTCGCCGACAGTGGACCAAACGAAGGCAGCGGTGACTGGCTGCAACTGACCTCTTCCACCAGTGACATTTCTGGTGCTGCCAACGACACTGACGCGAGCAGCGACGATGGTCAGAGCAGAAACCGGACACGAAATCGGAATAGAACTTCAACAGCGGTCAGAGGACACGGTGGAGACCATCAGCCGCTGCAGCCAACCCGCTCCGTCCACGATGATGCAAACAGCGGTGATGGACAGCGCAGACGAGAAAGGCCCAGGCCTGTGAGAGGTAAACTACACCAGCTTTCATTCCAACTGTTTTCTGACAGAACTCTGCAAACAAAAACAAAAAAACAACACTTAGTAATGCACGTTTTGTTTATTTCCTTTAGATAAAACGGAGATATGCATGTACTTCATCAAAGGACACTGTAAACATGAGGGTGAGTAGTCATCATAGATCATAGATCCTCATGCGAAATGGTAATATAATTAATGGCTATGTGTTCTTTAGAGTGATTGTCACAAAAAGTTTGATCCTGGTGACATTAATCTTGTTTAATGGCCGGTGTGTCCTCAGACCGGTGTTTTAAAGCTCATGACAAGATGCCATACCGATGGCAGGTCAAAAAGGATGATCAATGGAACGCCTTGCCCGATAATGAGACGATAGAGAAGGACTACTGTGACCCTAAAAACACATACAGGTACACTCTACAGACATTTAATGAGATTGTATTCCTGGGGAAAAGTTGTTCTTAAAGTCAACCATCTCAAGGTGTATAACCACCAGTTTACAGTTGTAGGGTTTCACTTTTAAAGAAGATCACTTTCATGCTTAACTTCAAGTATTTCCTGTTCTTTTTTTCCTGCTAAAGAGGCAACGCCTTCTGAAACATTACTCACGCCATCTGTGGGCTCTGAAACTCAGACTGAGAAAATTGCTCTTTAAAGAAATAGTGAATAGTTTATTCACTTCTTTGCCACAAGTTCAATGAGGAGATCAATACCACTCTTGTGTTTGTACAGTATATGAATCTACAGCGATCTTCTTTAAGGCAGGGTGTGGCACTGAAACCGCACGCTTTAGACTGAGAGTCCACAAGCTGTCAAGTAAAATTAGAGCGTTAGCTTTCAACGTTATTTTTAGAAAACTGATGAATAAGATAGATATTAAGTGCATTTCCATGTAAAACTGGTTTGATGGGTGGGACATAAAGCAGAAAGAGATTATTCGCTGTAAACAAATGACATATTAGTGGTGGAGAGAAAGATATTTTTCACTTGATGAATAGGGTGGGACATATTTTTCTTCTGACTGGTATAGCATGAACTCACAATTAAAGATCTGTTAATCACTCATGCTGTACCGGGAAGACAACTTATACATTTTACATAATTACAAGAAATAAACAATATGTTTTCCTCCTTTGTTTGTTCAAAGGTAATTTTTCATTGGATAGGGAAAACTCCAATATGGATCTGATGTTACAGCAAACTAGTGTGTGTGTTTGTGTGTGAATTGAATTGTATGAATTAATTGTTACTCAATTTGATGTCTGTAGTAGCAGCAGCAGCCCACCTGTGCATTTTGACACGATGACCTGTGGACTGGACAAAGTGCGACGACTCTCTACCGTTAACTCTCTGCTCGAGCCGACCTTCATCCACACCACTGAGTGGGTTTGGTACTGGGAGGATGAGTTCGGAAAGTGGAACATGTACGCTGTGAGTAACGTTTATTTTAGTGGTGGATAATGCAGACGTGAGGGAATGCCAGGAATTTTCACGGGGGGGGCTTAGAGTACGACACAGTGCACATCTGTTCACAAAATCTAAATAATTTCAAGGGTATAAAAATATAGTCAGCACAGCTAAAAGGAGAGTGAACATTGGACCTACATTCATCAGGTGGACATTTAAGTGTTTACAGTTTTTTCTCTGCCCCCATTTGGCCTAAAAACAGTTAGTGCATTTTGAAGGTCATATTGCCACACTAAATTGTTTTTTTCAATTACATTAAGACGTGTTTACTATTTTTTTTATAATATTAGTTTATAAAGCTAAAAAACAATGGAGTAACAATGGCAGAAATAGGGATGCTACCCCAATCTGCAATACTGATATTAGAGCCATATATTATCTGACCGTTTTAAGGCTGATCAAGGTTTGAAGTCATTACTCTCCAATAATGCCCTGTCATAAATTTTCTGTCATAAATATCCCTTGTTGAAACCTTGAACAGTTTGTACTAGATAACAGTGTTAGCAAACAGAGGAACAGCCTGAAAAAGCAGCAGCAGCAGGCAACAGTTTCATTGAAGATATGCGCACTGACAACATGCCTCTGCAAGCGGAGTTAGTAGAGCTGATTCAGGCTAAAAATGGCCACTTTACCTCCTATTTCAGTGACATTTTAGAGGCGTACCACAACCCTAAATGCCGCTGTAGTGACAACAACTCCCTGCAGCAAACTTCCTATAGTAACTTTTGCACATGATGGAGTAAGAAGTGAGGCTGTCCAAGCTTTGCTCTGAAGTGGAATTTATATTGTAGTAATAGCCTTCCAATCAGCTATATGAGCTATGCTGGGTGGGTCCATGTCGACATTGACAGTTGTCGTGGAATGGAGCAGTGTCAGATTCTGCCTTTTAAAGGGACAGCAATTTAAAAACTCACATCACACCAGGATTGAACTTCCCACTTCATCCTTCCCACACATGATCTACTAATCTTGCGCTGAACTGACGACTGCGTGTTTACATAACCCTGCAAGTCTCTATATTCTGTTTCACCCGATTTTGTTTATGATAGACGTTTCTTTTTTACCTGCTCTCTTCTGTTGCTAAAGCTGCCATCCATGCACATCATTAAAGTTTTAATCTAATCTTTTATGGCTCTATAGCCATACAAAAAAATCAAAAGAGATGACGCAACACAGGCTGAGCTGTGTGATCAGACAGCGTGGCAGCATCTCTGAGGAAAGAGATTAGCGGCAGCGAAGATTGTTGCCAGATTGCATAAATTTGAATTTGTCATGCTCGTATTGGACTGTTGAATTAAGAAATACAGTTTTAAAGGCGTTTGGAGCTCCCTCAGCTAAAGCTGATCAGTTCTCGCAACTTCTAAAGCTGAGCCCTTCTTAACAGTTTTGTCCTCCAGGTTTACACTTTTGAAAGGAACATTACGTGAAATTACAGATTTTAGACTTTCAGAGCGTCGTGTAAGCATAAAATAAAATAAATTAGGAATAAAAGATAAGTGTCGGGTAAAAGCCCAGGATCTGATGAAAATCTAATTGTGTATCTGGTTAGGTTCATCATATTCACATTGTTTCTCACAATCCATTCACATGAATTCAAGCACTGAACTTCTAAGGCACATTCTGACATTTTGTGCATTTGTATAGTAACTGTATAGTATTATAATTGATTTAAACTTTAATTTACTGTTCTAAATTCAAATTGCGTTGTGTTCTGAGACATGAGATATTTACGGTCTAAAAAAAGCTAAATATGGAGATTAATAAATGGATCAAGGAAGAATGATGAAATGTTAACTGTATTAACTGTCTGAGCTGTGGTCAACAGTAGACTTCTAATTTTCATTCAACACAACAGAACATTTTCAACAAATTTTGACACTACATGTCACCAAACTTGAGAATCATACCAAAATATAAATTTCATATCAAGCAGTATCCATTACAACAATGTTACAATAAATATTTCTGCAACCAGCAGCAACGGATGTGACCATATTTGGACGAAATGGTGGAGCTAGCTAGCTTGCTTATCTAGCTGCATCTGTAATTCACAATAACTGTCATTTTAACAGGGCAGACAATTTCGTCTAGCGAACAAAAGTCTTAAAACTAAATGAGAAAGTGAACAGCCAACTCCTAAAAAGCTTTTTCAACGGCGCTGGTTAAATTTACACAGTGCCATGGGTACAAGTCACTCTAGCCGCATCGACAGGTTGCCATGGTAATGACTTGTCAATCATAGATAATCCCGCCCTGAAGCATACTCTGCTTTATGGTCTATTTTCCTCTAAATAGGACCATAATTTACTAAATGAACATCAGAAGACTTGAAACTAGGGATTCAGACCATAAACTCATTGGTAATGAATCAGCAGAGAAGTAGGGTCATTTTACTATTTTTCTAATGGAGCCGGACTTCTTTTTGCAACCAGACGAGTCACCCCCCGCTGGCCGTTCGATAGAATGCAGGTTTAATGGACTTCCTCGTCCACATCAGTTGTCTAACCGGAAGCTTCCCGCTTGGTAAAAATAAAGAAATGTTGTTTTTTGACAATAAGAAATTCGGTATTAAGCAACAACAAAGGAATTAAAGACAATGAGTCTAGTGCCATCATCCTGTTTGCTTAGCTTATTTTAGCGTTAAGACAGAAAACAAATGGAAACAGCTAGCCTGTCCTATGTGTGCGGATTTTGTTACCATCAAACAGTCCTAGGCTAGCGGTTTCTCCGCATTTCCTTTCTTTATGCTAAGCTACGCTAACCGGCTGCTAGCGACATACATGAGAGTGGGGTCGATCTTCTCATATGACACTTACAAACAATGCAAATAAAATAATTTTAAAAGCACTTGTGTTTCCCTAGCTAGTTTTGTTTGCAGGAAACAACAATTTCACTGAAATTCATGTTTATAAATTTACAGATTCTGTAGGCGATAATCTCTTATCCGCATACCGTACAAGCTGGCTCCTGATTGGTCATCTACCATTTCAGTTGAATATGTAGATGTTTTTTGAGTTAAAAACAGACTTGTCTTTCTTGTGCGGCAGACTGGTGGACACAAAGCAGCAGACATGGACAGCGCCAAACTGGAGCAGAGGTTTCTGGACAATGAGAAAGATGTTGTGGAGTTCACCGCAGGTTCACAGTCATATACACTCAGTTTCCAGGGTAAACAAAGATTATGCAATTGATCTCTGAGTTTACAGTTGTGTGCAGACATTAAAGCAAATATTGTAAAGGCTGTATTATAATCATGTAAATTTTTCCCTCCCACAGACATGATACAAACAAACAAGCACTATGGCACTAAGAGGCTTGTGAAAAGACGGCCACGGTTTGCCTCTGCAGCTGATGTCCAAACAAGGAGAGTGAGGTATGATGTCTCATATATACGATGTTAGTCCCACTTATGTTTTCCACCTTTTAAACAAACATAAGCCAAAAAACAAACATTTTATTTAAATTACCTCACAATAAACTAAACCTGATCCTAGTTTGCTTTCTGACAGCAGAAGGCCTCTTGGTCAACAAACTTTCACCGCTATACCGGACTCCTGGGACAAGACGCAGGTTCCTCAAACAGGATTCAAGGTATTGTGAATACGCCACACATCAAACTGCATAAGAAACACAACTTAAAAGTACTGCTTCAGTAACATTCTTGTCTTGGCTTAGGAGTTACGTGAATGTACACGCTATTAATATTTTTTGAAAAACTACTAGAAGTAGCCAAATGCACGTGATAATTTACTTTGTGTGTATTTGTTAATTGCTTGTCTTTTGGGTGTAATTTTCTGATAGAATGGGGGGAAATCCATGCAGTGTTGCATCTTTTGTCATTTTCAATCATGAATACACTACAAACTCAAAATTACTAGATAGTAATTGGGGGCAGTAATTTATAACAATAATGAAGCTTTTTTCAAAAACAAAAAACAAGGATTCTATATTGATTCATTTATTCAAGCAAGTTAATTTTAAGAGACAAGGCTGGCGAAACCTATACTTTCCTTATTGTGAACAAATATTCTGAAAACAGTAGTGAGTGTAGTGAAAGTCTGACATAGATTATTCCTCTGTGTCATACAGCTTTATTGTCAAAACTATTGAAAACTCTTCAGCATGCCACACTGTTACACTCACTGACATGTTCCTTCGTTATCATGAACATGGGCACTGTAGTTTATTTTGACTCAATCCAGCATACACTGTCCTGCTACTCTAAATAATCCAAATGTGTGTTAATCCGCTGCTGAAAATAGTCCCTAACAAATCCACTGTTTGCTCCTGTTTCAGTAACATTTGACAAAAAACACAGTGCCCAGCGGTAGTCGTAAGATACAACCATATATCTCTGATGAACCCACAATTGGTTTTGGTCTTTTGTTGGTGGTGTTTTTTTAGCTTTTTTTACAATAACCAAAAATTTTAAATAATAAAGTGAAGAGAAGTGACTGACTGGGAGGAATAAAAAACACTTTGAGAAATCTTAACAAGGACACACATTGTCACCACCTGTACACAGACAAATGTAGAGCAGCAGTCTTGACAGGCAAGAGCTGTAATAAACACTGCAAATTTGAGCAGCTGTAATAAAAGCAAAACATGCACTAATTGGCTGCAGCAGCTCCCCCTTGTGGAGAACTTGCAGCCTGTCAGTTTGTGTCACAGTCCATCGAGACGCTTTGCGTTGGAAAATGGTTGGCAACAATGCATGCAATGTAAAATCTTTCAAACGAGCAATCACAGGAATTACCTCCTAGTGTTGCTAGATATTTACTGTAGATCATTCAGTATGTGTTGTCTCATAATAAAATAAACTGTGTTTACTTTCTCTGTGTGTTTCCCAGCGAGTGTCCCTCTTGCGCTCCTCAGATGAATTTAAGGAGATTGAAGCTCTTTTCTGTAAAACCATGAGAGGCTTTGACATCCTCAGCATCGAGAGGATTCAGAACAAAGCTCTTTGGGAAGTCTTTCAGTGGTACGTATGGGATTTTCATGTTTGTTCCGCCATCACTTCTCGTAAAACTTTCAATATTCGAAATCTACACAGCTGATTTCACCTCAAAACTTCTCAGAAGTGGATTTAGTGATGAAATTCCATACGAAAATTGTAAAATATAAAACTTTCTGTTGCTGGCCTGTCTGGCCCACGCGATGATGATGCAGTGAATATTAAAATATTCTCTCTGACCAATCAGCAGTCTGTCGTGTTTTCACGTTACATTTTAGTATCCCTCAGCTGGCTTGGAACCTCGACGGAGGTGAGGTAATACGAAAAAAGTACCTGGAAGCAGGTACAGGTACAACATTTCTACTATGTAAACCCAAACAAAGGCGAGTCGAGCCACAGGGCCTCCGCTCAGACTAGCTTGGTTTGAGGGCGTACCTGACCCCCGCTAGCCGCTTGGCAAGCTTTATGACGCGTTTTCATTGTGACGTCAAAAGTAAAGGAAGTGAAGGGCTGGACTACAAACGAGCTGTTTTCAAGCGGTTCAGAGCAGAGCTTTCTGTGGGAGATGGGAAATCCCTTTGTGCTGGACTTTGGGCTTTTTCACTTTGCAAACCTGTTACATGCACAAAAAAGAGATATAACTCAATAAAGGAGAGAGGAAACGCCCAAAAGCATAATACCACCTCTTTAATGCACAGTTATGGGGTATGGCTGCTACAGCTATGGTGGCTAGCGTTTGCTCGCTTTCTATTTAAGATAGCTCCCATTCCTGAATGCATCTGCTTGATTTAAGTTCTTAATTTTCTTTTTTTCTTAATAAAGGCAGAAAAATCAGATGAAGAACAACAACGGTGGAAGGAATGTGACAGAAAAAAAACTTTTCCATGGCACTGACTCTAAACATGTAGATGTCATCTGCCACACCAACTTTGACTGGAGAATCTGTGGAACTCATGGAACTGCTTTTGGCAAAGGTGAGTTGAAGAAATATTCACATTTTTGTCATAGACGAAAATGTTAACTTCACAAAGAAAGGTACAAAGGTACTAAAATTAAATTAACAAATTTATTAATTTATTTAATAAAAGGTACTAAAACTAAATTAAAGGTACAGTTTGCCCAAAAACTTTCTGGCATTTAAGCTTTCATTTCATTTCAATATAATTGATATTCTGAAAAAATATTGTCAATTAATCAATAAATTGGCCGAACAATTGTTTGAGTCAATAGTCAAACAAAAATGCTAAATATTTGCTAATTTCAGCTTCAAACAATGACCAGACAAATAATTTCTTCAAGAAAATAATTTGGAGATTAATTATTGTAGTTATTTGCAGTCTTTCCACATACGATATAATGCCATTACAACAACCCCCAATTTTAATTTCTTTCTGTGTGGAAACCCAGGTAGTTACTTTGCCCGGGATGCCAAATACTCCCACAGCTACACCGGTGACTCTGATGTCAAATCCATGTTCATCTCCCGGCTGCTGGTGGGAGACTACACCAGAGGGTCCTCCGACTACCGCCGCCCTCCTTCCAAGGACGGAGGGGACATAAACTTTTTTGACAGCTGCGTAGACGACGTCATAAACCCTTCCATCTTTGTTGTGTTTGAGAAGCACCAGATCTATCCTGAGTACCTTCTGCAGTACAAGACCACAGACCTGTTCGATGACATATTTGGTGCTGCGTCTGCACTGGCATCCAGACGAGTACCAGCTCCGAGACCAGCGCCCCAACCCAGCGTATCAGTTTCTAAACCCAGCGTATCAGTTTCTAAACCCACCACATCCGTTTATAAACCCACCACATCCGTTTATAAACCCACCACATCCGTTTATAAACCCACCACATCAGTCTCTAAACCCACCACATCCGGTTATAAACCCACCACATCAGTCTATCAACCCAGCACACCGTCTTACCCCCCCAGCGCATCACCATACCATTACCAATCTAGCAGATTAGATGACCTGCTCATGATGTCTTCTCAACCTTCTCCACCTTCTCCCCCAGTCCGAAAAGCAAAGAAAGGTGATTCATGTGTCATTGCTTAGTGAGAAACGTGAAGTGAGTGCAGGTGTGGTTATGTTTTTTGGAATGGATAATGACTTTAGAAGTAGCTTGATGGGGCTCATGCCGAATGCTTTGGGTCATTTTGGTGATTAAATATAATAATAATATCTATGAAAGTGTGGAATGAGGTTTAGAGTGGCCAGAAAACCAGTCAAATAGAAAAAATCTACAGTAACCGGGAAATGTTAATTACACGAAATGTAAGTGAGATGCTTTGTATACTTTGATTTATTCACTAAATCGGTTTCCACTGCACTTTGTCGCATTTTGCTTTTAACAAATCACCAACTCAAACAGACCAATATGTAACATTCTTTTCAGGTTTTCAATTTTTTTTTTTATGTGCATATTAAAAATGTGCAGCTGAATAGAAACTAAAATAGCTCAGGAAAGTTTATACATCACAATAACATTAATTTAAACCACTAGTAATTATTGCAGAAAGAGATGCTGCGGCATAGCTCCCCAACCAGTAGTGGGTGACAAAATCCCTTGCAGATATTCAAAAATAAGTTGTGAAATTTATTGCTTTATTCACAAATTGTAAATGAGGTTGTGGTGTGTAAGCTTTTTTGTTTCACACAATATTCAGGGTGTACGGTTATTGATTATTTAACGCACAGATTTTGTGTTGTGTAGTTAATTTGCTTAACACTACGATTCCCCTGCAACTAAAAACTTTGACATTTCCCAAACTGTTGTACTTTGTTTTCAACATTATTGATTCTGTGCCTTGAAAATAAATGTAATATTATCATTAACTGCACACAGACACACTGTTTAATTTCAGGTTTGCAGGATATGGCCTTGTTTTCTTACTGCTGGAGCTGCACGTCTGTCTCATAAGTGAATTTAAAACGCCACCATCTGTCGAGTTGGGCCTCTCAGTGAAATGAGGCAGGGCACAAAAAATGATTAGTATGGCTGCCGGTGCTTCCTGTGACATTAGGCCTGCAAATCATCCCACCTCCCCTCAACTCACGCACACACAGTATACATACACTAGCAACCGCCTCCTGTTGTGTTTCCTGACAAAGTGCAGTGGAAATGTTTGCATGTTAATGTGAGATTTCATTGTAGTTATGCACCCTGATTTTTCATTCGCCCTGCTAAAAAATGCAGTGATTTACACTTAAAGCTCAATTGATTTGTACACTATCTGCAATGATTTATACTATGCTTCTGAAATTATCCGCCTTCATGGAGTGATTTACATAACTGTAAGAATATTAAGATATTAATTCAAGCACTGAGTTTTACTATATGCAAAATTTTGGCACTTTGGCCGTCGCCATATTTGGATAAGAGAGGTGGAGGAATATACATTGCTGCACCTGACAGGTCACCATGGTAGTGACTTGTCAATCACAGGGTAGCCTCTCCCTAAAGCATACCCTGCTTTATTGTCTATTTGCCTCTAAATGGGACCATAATTTACTGATGAACATCATGCGGTATTAAAGGAGACTAGAAGCTCATTAGGAAAGTGTTTCCTGAGGTAATAAATCAGGTGAGAAGGAGGCATATATTATCATCTACTACTATGCAATCTGACTTATTTTGCAAACACTGGACTCGCCCCGTGTTGGACATTAGAAAGAATGCAGGTTTAAGGAACTTCCGCGTTGGCTTCACTTTTCAGACCCGGGGGGTTTCCCACTTGGAAAATACCCATGCCAATAGAATTTAAATGAGAAGATAGCTCCATAAATATACAGGACCTCTAGCATTTTCAGAACCATAAGGGCTCGTTATAGGGACCTTGTAGACTACCAAGTTTCTGATGTCAATGATGTACTGGGTGTGCAGGATATACACCTATAAGACCTGATTCCAGCTGGTTTAATATCATGTTCTTGATTCTTGCAATCCTGTCATTTCAAAATAAAATTGTGTTTTTATTTGAACTTTGAACAGTTTGTATTAATGACCAAACTAAGATGAGGGGATTTACAAGCACAGGGGGATGGCGGTTGGAGCTGGAGGGCTGACCGCCCGGCTGTGTGTGGTTGAGTATAAAAACAGTAACTGTGAACATTTATTCCCCTTTGGTTCAAAACATGCAGCTGCTTTTCTGTGCAGAAAAGACAAAAACACTTCTGATGGTACAGTAGATTACAAGGAGAAGATTCCCAGGGTAAAGATGGATTCTCAACCACTGCATCTATTCGCTGCCACCAGCGCTTCATTATGTATTTACTGCCCATTAAGATGGGGCTGTTCTATAGGCAATGCAGCTGTGCCCTGCAGGATGCAACAGCCCACCCAGTGACAGTAAATATCCTCTGACATTAAGCAGCTACTTCCTGTCTGATGCGTGCCCGTGGCATGTGCTGTGTCTTGCCCTGGCTGTTGCTTCCTGGCAGTCAAAGCAGATCGTTCAGTGCCGGCTACGTGGAGCTCCCGGGCCTCAGCATATCTGAAAATCTTTTCCTGCATTGCAAGAGCTTATGAATTAAAGATGTGTCCTTTCCCGTTTGTTAGTGTGCACCCCTAGTGTTTGAGGTGTTTATGTTTCTGCTGAGTCGTGATGGTTTTGTTCCAGCCGATGGAAGAATGGTAGAGCGCCAAAACCCCTGGGCGAGCGGGTCTTTATGTGGCTGATAGCAGGAGACGTTTTTGTTGAGTTTCTGAAATGTTTGTGGTGATTCCAGTAACAGCTGCGGTCAGCAGATCTGCTGCATGTGCAGCCTCAATAGATCAAGAACGCACCTGTTGATCAGCTGATTAATAAAGGTGTATGGTTACAGCTGTATTTTTGGTAAGTCTGTCTATATTTAATTCTGGTACTTCAAACTTTAAAGGTGCTTCGTGCAGCATGTCATTCACAGTCTTTACACAAATTTTACATTTGGCTACATAAGGGGGCATCTGCTGGATTCCTTCACAGCAAGAAACTGGAGGCGGGCGTTGTTCTACCATGGTAAACCATTATTGTTTCTCTTTAGCCTAGCCAGGGATGGCAATGGCAGTCAATCCATCACTTTGGTTCAGGCTAAAATTAGCATATGGATTGACATTAAATTTAGTACAGACAGTGTATTAACAACTATTGGATGGATTATCATAAAATTTCTCTTGCTTCTGACAATCATATGACCCCCAGGATGAATCGTAATATCTGTGGTGATCCCTCAACTTTTCATAGCAGGATCATGAGGTCTACTGTGTCCAATACTATAATACTTAAAAATAAAATACTCCAATTCCCATCAGCTCATGTGTTCAGTGCTGTTTAGCAAATGCTAACAAGCTAAATTGGGAGTATGTAAGCATTTAGCACTGCTGAGCCTTGTATTCTACAGGCTTACAGAGCTGCTAGCATTGCAGTAGATATAACTTCCGCATTTTATGGGATGGGAAATTACCGTTGTGCCACTATACGTCTGTATTGATGACACAACATGATAGTAAACTGGTGAGAGTCTTGTTTTCCTGTATAGTCCTACTAAGACTTATACTTCTACTATTGCATACCTATACTTCGAGTTAATGTGCTATTTCAGTAAAACTCTCTCCCCTTCTGGGACAGAAGGACAGGAAGCAATTGGGAACATGGGAAATGTGGTCCTAATGTAATGTGGATAAACTACTGCTGTGAGATAGAAACTACTAATCCTCTGAGACTGCACCCTCATCTTAGTTTCTATTTTTGTGCAGCTGCAGCATGCAGATGTATCTTGCTGTGATTGGATGACAATATTTGTACTGCACTTTGGGGTGCAGCCTCTGTGTCTCTGTTCTTGTCTCTTTTCTTTTTACAAAGACATACATTGATAGCAGAGGGTTGCCTTTTGCCATGAATCGATGCCGACACCATTTAACGGCCAAAGAGCAGCTAAAACATAGGCCTATCTACAAACTGAGTTGATTTGGTATTTGGCTATACATATCCAACTTAATGCTGACAAAGGGTTGGACTGCAGTGTACATTAAATGTGGAAATAATGAGTTGCTATCGCAGCATCTGTGAATTTTGCTGTTTACCTCCAGAGGGCTGGAAGCTGGACAGCTTCTCATTAAAGTGTAATTAGCTCCAATACAATCCCAGGATTTTTACATTCACTCACTCAGTTATCCATTAATTAATTAAAAGTATCCTTTTAATCCAGCGTCATAATTAGGCTCTGTATGTTCTCATTATTATTCAGACATTCTGACATATGATCGGTTAGATACCCACTGAACTTCTGAAATGAAACATATGATCAAATATTTAAAATATTACCCAAATAACAAATAATACCTTTATGGTATCAGCCTGCAGTTTAAAGAAATTGGCTTTTGACCATACAGAGAATTACTCTTTCAGGCTAGAAAACTCTCAGCAAACTGACTAGAGCTACTCAGTGGGGGCATAATGCCTGCGGACTGTGGGTCAAATGAGTTTAATGATGTTGTCATTACACTCTGTTACGTCAGTGACAGCTGTGGGTTGACTTGTTCTTCTGTGCCTGAGTGCCGTCATCAAATATTTACCTCTGCTGATATCAGTGTGCCAAACATCTCAATCATCTAACTTTTCAGTAATGATTCGTTCATTAATTATTTTGTCAAAAATGTAGTAAATGTTCATGATGGAAAGCAAGTACATCGAGGGAACCGTGACCATTTAAACCATTACAGCAGTATTAGTTGATTTATTGGCCTCAGCAGCAAAAGCCTGTAAAAACAATGTTGATTCATCAAGCAGACACGCAGCAACATTAGCTTTCATTTGGAGCCATGTTTGTGTCCACCTGATGAATGTATACGTTTGATATTTACTCTCCTTTTAGCTCTTGTTTGGTCTCCACCAACTCCTAAGGGACAAATCTGATTTTTAGTGGCTTTGTTCAGTAGCTTATCACTAACTAGCTGTTTGATGCTAAACAGGTAGCGTACAGTGGTTTTGTTAGAGCATCTTAGCTGAAAATAGGTGTCAGAGATTATTGCAAATTATGAACATCAGAAAGCAGAAAAAGCATCATATGTTCTAATATTTCAGCGTGCACCAAATTTGTATGTGCTACATAATGATCCAGAGAAATGAGACCTATGTGTCGTAAGTATTTTTTCAATGCTTTGATACATACATTTGTGGTCATTTGAAAAGGTTGTCTTGAAGCCACAATTAAACAACATTTTGACAATGTTTTCCTTCCTTAAACCTGTAAAAACTGATTTTTTGGCTACTTTGGGGCAGCACAACAAGCTATTATAACATAGCTAGACTCTGTGTTTAACATGAGCAGTTGCTGAAGAAAATAAACAGTCCGAAACTGACAAAAACTTCGATTTCAACTCCAGCAGATCTGATCAGAGAATGATCAGACATTCAAAACCACCTTTTTCATGTCTTCAATGCTCGGTGCTACAAAAACATCGACATAGCCTACATTAAAGTTGATGTGGTGAACATGTTAGCGAACAGTTGCTTATCTAGCCTACATATTCAGCAAAGAAAGAGCAAGGTTAACATGTTAACATGTGTGACATTGTTTTTGTCCACTTGGTAAATGTCCAATATTTACACTCTCAACTTTTGCTTGTCTTCACTAAGTCCTGAGGAAAATATCTGGCTGCTAAATCTAAGTCGCTTTGGATAAAAGCGTCTGCCAAATGAGTAAATGTAAATGTAAATGTGCCGTCATGTTCACTAGCTAGTAGCTAACTGTATCTGTCTGTTTATTCATGAGAGGTTAGAGTTGGGTTTAACAGAGGGAACTGCAGAGTTATGCGATAATAGTCTGTGGGTGCCCCTTTTTAAATTGCACGTAGTTATTTGATCCATTACTAATATATAATTTAGTTTTAAACTAAAACATGATCAGCTTATGTTCAGACTCATCATAAACTAAATAGGCTATAGGCTATCATTCACCGGTGTGGCCCAGCTGTGGCAACTCTGGTTTTAAGTGTGTATCCCATGACAGCCTGAATGAGAAAATACCACCATTTGTCTATAATCAAAAAACTTTATCCTTTAAATGAATTTTTTAGATATAAAACACATATAAGAGGAATTTCAACTACATTTCTGAGTGCAAAGACAAACAAAACAGTCTTTAAATAAATCACAAGAATAAAAATCTTGTGATTCTTTTTTAAATTCTCTAGCCTTTTTTCCTGATTCCCTTTTTTATTCCATTTGGCTTTGCTAAGAAACGCTCCCTCAATCAAGCTTCATGGACCGACTGCATAATGAATGCATTACACCCCTCACGTTCCCGGCATGCATTGTGGAAACAGAGAGAGAGAGAGAGAGAGAGAGAGAGAGAGAGAGATGGGGGGCTTGGCTGGGAGGCTGAGAAGAGGATCGTGGACCTGAGCGCAGAAGAAGAAGCAGCAGCATCAGAAGAAGAAGAAGAAGAAAAAGGGTCAGCATCCGACACTTGCTCATCACTGACAACCGCTCAGGTAAATTATATGCGCATTTATTTCCAGCATCATTCCCACGTTTTGTTTCCAGTACGTGTCCCCGCGTGTGTGTTTTACTGCTGCGGGCTTCTGCTTTTGGAGAAATCAGCCGCATCACACAATGAAGCTCATCTTTTCCGGGTTTCCCCCCCCTGTTATTATTTTTGTTCCTCGGATAAGATGCGGAATGACCCGTGAACACAGGCTTTTGCTGCGTCTGACTGGTTAGAGTGGTTTGACAGCTTGGTGATAGGTACTACTCTAGGTCTGTGCAGGGATTCCCTCAGCCATGTCTCTGCAGCCTACGGTCCAGTCACTCCTCCGCTGAGCGTTTCACTAGGGGAGGGAGGCGGGGAAGGTTGGGGTATCCATTTCATGACTGTGACCGTGGACGGTGGATTAGAAAGTCAGTTTACTCGCATTTGCAGGTCAGTCTTTATCACAGTCATTTATCTTATGCATCTCATTTAGAGATGTGAAATGATGCAGAAAAGCCCCCTTTAGCCCTAATTAAG